ACACAGACGAGGGCCCTCAGTCATGAGGGATGCCCGCTGCAACATCTCCACATAGCCAGCTGCTGTTTGACGCCCCTGTACAACCTGAAGCTCCATTGTTCCATTGAAGGAAAACACACCCCAAATCATGATGGCGCCCCCACCACTGTGCCGTGTAGAAAACATCTCAGGTGGGATCTCCTTGTCATGCCAGTAACGTTGGAAGCCATCAGGACCATCAAGGTTAAATTTTTTCTCATCAGAGAAGACAACTTTCTTCCACCTTTCATTGTCCCATGTTTGGTGCACCCTTGCAAAGTCCAAACAGGCAATTTTGTGGTGTTGAAGAAGACGTGGCCTTTGAAGACGTTTTTTGTTTCTGAAGCCCTTCTCTCACAGATGGTCTGATGGTTACTGGGCTGCAGTCAGCACCAGTAATGGCCTTAATTTGGGTAGAGGATCGTCCCGTGTCTTGACGGACAGCCAATCGGATCCTGCGGCTCAGAGCTGGTGAAATTTTTTTGRGYCTACCACTTGACTTTTTTGTTCCATAACCCTCAGGATGATTTAAAAAATGCAAAATGACTGTCTTACTGCRTCCAACTTCAGCAGCGATGGCACGTTGTGAGAGGCCTTGCTTATGCAGCTCAACAATCCTACCACGTTCAAAGTCAGTGAGCTTTTTTACTTTTGCCATCAGGAGGTCTTGACAGTGTAAAGACTTGACAGAAAATGACATGGAATCCAGATTTTTGCACAGCTTTTGGCTTTTAGACTATGGTCTTAAACTTTTGATCAGCTGAAAAAATCATGTTTGAGTGTAAATACAGTTTTCAGAAAAGTCCCTGCTCAAAAGTTCTTGTCTCTTGGACTGATTTTTTCTTTTAACATTGTGAAGCTCTACTTAGAACCTTCTTAAGATCCAACAGTGCAAAATGCAAATTCTTGCACTTTTTTGACTGGTCTTAAGATTTTGATCAGGAGTGTATCTAAACAAATGTTCATCTCAGCGGCTTGAAATTTGTGTAGTAAAATGTTCTAAATGTCGTCTTTCCAAAAATGGCTTTGCGTTTTTTACTAAAATTTGATGCCACAGGTACTTTAATGAGTTGAACCGGTAATCTGTTTTTGAATGTATTTGAGAGAAAAAAATTAATTCATTTATTTCATTCATAAAAACAAAACAATCTACATACAGTATTAAAGAAAACAAAGTGAATAATGTAAAGAAAAAAATCTTGTATATGCCTCTTATTTTCAACAAATACCTTCAACAAACTCAATATGATCTCCAAGATATTTTCTGCACTTCACTGATCAGTATAAATCATGGTCCATATCACATGAGACACCTGGAGGTCATCGATTCGCTCAGCTCAGGTCAGCAGGAGGGTTACGAGACAAACCAGCTTCAGCCACTGTTCTGTTCAGTTTTAATGATCTCAACAGTCGTTCCACAGCCTACGAGCCAAACTCCAGCGTGGAGCGGCTGAGTGAAGGTGGTCTGGACTCTGTGGAGGAGGGTCATGGTGTCAGAGACCCTGTAGAAGGACAGAACACCTGCTGTGTGGTCCAGGTACACTCCGATCCTGGAGGAACCAGGACCTGAGACTGGACTGCTGGTGTTATTGAACCGAAATGAAAAACCGATCGCACCGAAGTATATGGCCCAAGATTTTTTATTAAATCCAAATCTACAATCATTCAGCGTCACGTCCCTGCCCATATGCTTGTAGGCCACGGCTATACAGACCCCTCTGCCGCTCCACTCCACCTCCCAGTAACAACGACCAGTCAGACTCTCTCTGCTCAGAACCTGGGTCAGATCAGTGAATCTGTCTGGATGATCAGGATAAAACTGAATTTGTTCCATTAATGTTGCTTTTCTGTTCCCCTCAGATAAAACCAGCTGTTTGTGAGCTGTGTTTGGATCCAGAGTGAGTTCCTGTGAATATTTGAGGAACTCAGATCTGCTCTTTGGTTCTGACACTAAATCTTGAGTTCCTCTCAGTGAGATGTTTGTCCAGGTGTCCCTCAGGACGTCCTGTATCTTGTCTCTGAGCTGGTCCAC